ATCTACCGGATACAACAGAAGCCTGGAAAGCAAGCTTCAATGACTCACTACAGCAAATTGTGATGGAGTCACCAGACTATCATGCGTATGTTACCACTAGCTCAAAAGTTACCGATTATATCAACTCACGAATTGAAATTCGAATGAAAGAAATTCGCAATCATGATTCAACTAAGAACTTCGAATTTGATGAACTCCAAGACCTTCAGATTCCACCGGTAGAGGGTGCACACATGTTGTCTGCTGTACTTGTCAAGGATGTCGGTGAGTTCCCTCCGCGAGTTACTACACCAGGCTGGCAATTTGGTGTACTTGAACCTGTTTATTATAATGATGGATCAAGCGCTGATCAACGCACCTTATTGTGCATACCCAGCAATTTCTCATCCTTGAATCTTACTGATCATCCGCCTTTCATTCCCTTCAATGACTATACCCGCAGATATTACGACCATCTCCTTCACAAAGTCCAAGGTGATCGAGAATACTGTCCTAATCCTCGTAGGGTACCGGGGTCTCCACACTTCTGTGATAGAGATCACATGGACCTTGAAGAATTCAATGCGTTTGATAAGAAATTGTTTGACCTGTTCATGAGCTGGCTCAAGAAGTCGATGACAGCCATACAGCAGCCAGCTAAGATTTCCGAGATTGAGATTTTCGAAAAGAAGCTCCGGCGGACCAATAATTGCTGCCTGATTTATGCAGCTCTGCAATGGACCAATCTATATCTTTGCGGAAACTCAAATGTTGTTGCCATCAACATTCGAAATCATGTTAATCAAGTGAAACATCGAGCTATGAGGGACTGGCCTAATGCCGATCTATGCCATATACTGGCCTTCTACCTCACTGCAGAGGACAAGATTAAGATATTTTCTCCACGGAATGTATCCCACCACTTGAACATGGAAGATCTGTTACAGGAAACTATCGATCAAATAGGCAAACATGTCACTGAAGCGGCATGGGAACGCGCAAACGGAGATAAATCCACTTTCATGCACAAGATGATTAAGGCAGCGGAAGGCCTTGGTCAATGGTTCAACAATTCAGTGGACAAGAAGTCACCAGAGTCGATGCGAAACCTGGATCAAGCTGTCCCAGGTTTGTCGCAAGCTGTTGGATCAATGCAGAACCTTCTTGCGTTCTTTCAGCATATCTACAGCTCTCATGGTGTCACCATTGGTCCTACCCCTGACAGATTTACAGTCAAATGCCATCGAGCTCACACTACACTGTTGCCGATGCTGAAGGGACGCACGTTCACTCGGCAGTGCAATTCAACACTGTTCCTGATCATCATCATCTCGGTTTATCTGTGGATCAACATCGTTTTCTTCAAGAGAGAGAGTGGACCCGCGAAGAATACTATCGAGATGTACAGCCGCTTTCAGACTGTCAAAGCGTCTCGGTATTTGGCACACATGTGTATGTCTGCTGCCACTTCTCGGAACAACTGCGTCAGCCAAACGTTCTACCGTAACACAGGGCAAATATGCACTTATCTGGAGGCGATTTCGAGTGGAAAAGAGAGAACTGTTGATCATTATCAGTTCTTCCTCCCCATCATGTGTAACGTGCCAAATGACATGAAGCAACTTCGCCCTTCGGACAGTTTCAACGTCCCCGCTTACTACTAAG